CAGACCATGCTGGCACCTGACCGCAGACTTCTCAGTCTTAAGAACTGTGAGAAAATAAATTTCTGTTGTTTAAGCCGTCCAGTCGATGGTATTCTGTTATAACAGACGGACTAGACTAAGACATTCAGTCATGCTGCTGGTGTAAGACCAGCATATAAAAATCAATTGTATATCTAAATAAGTAGAAAATAAAATTTAAAAATCTATATAACTACATAAAAACCAAATATCTCAGAATCATCTGACAAAACATGCATAAAACTTTTACATTAAAACTACAAAACAGTAAGAAAAGTTAAAGAAGACCTTTAAAAACAAAAGGATATACTTTTGTTTTTATGGGCATTGGAAGACTTAAACATTTTGGCATTGTCAATTCTCCCCAAATTGATCTAATCTAAAGATTCAATATAAATTCAATTAAAAATCCAGCCAGCGGGCATGATGGCTCACCATGCCTGTAATCCCAGCACTCTGAGAGGCTAAGGCAGGTGGATCATGAGATCAGGAGATCAAGACAATCCTGGCTAACACGGTGAAACCCCATCTCTACTAAAAATATAAAAAAATTAGCCAGGCATGGTGGCAGGCGCCTGTAGTCCCAGCTACTCAGGAGGCTGAGGGAGGAGAATCGCTTGAACCTGGGAGGTGGAGGTTGCAGTGAGCCGAGATCGCACCACTGCACTCCAGCCTGGGTGACAGAGTAAGACTCTGACAAAGAAAGAAAAGAAAGACAAGAAAGACAAGAAAGACAGAAAGACAGAAAGAAAGACAGAAAGAAAGACAGAAAAAGACAGAAGGAAGGAAGGAAAGGAAGGAAGGAAGGAAAGGAAGGAAGGAAGGAAGGAAGGAAGGAAGGAAGGAAGGAAGGAAGGAGGGAGGGAAAGAAAGAAAGAAAGAAAGAAAGAAAGAAAGAAAGAAAGAAAGAAAGAAAGAAAGAAAGAAAGAAAGAAAGAAAGAAAGAAAGAAAGAAAGAAAGAAAGAAAGAAAGAAAGGAAGGAAGGAAGGAAGAAAGGAAAGAAAGAAAACAGCAACTTTTGGGTATGAAGTTGGCTTCTTGTTTTTTTCTTTCTTTCTTTCTTTTTTTTTGGTGGAAATTGAAAAGCTGACTCTAAAATTTATTTTAAAACACAATGGGCTAAAAATAGCCAAGCTAATTCTGAAGAAAACACAAAGCTCTAGGACTTATACTGCCAGACATCAAGATTACAAAGTTATATAATAAAGAGAGTGTGATATTGGCACAAAGATAGACAAACAGACCAATGCAACATCACAGAGAGTCAAGGGAAGTGTTAATGTTGCAGCCTCAAATCTGAAGGCAGCCTGTGGGCAGAACTGCTTCCTCCCCAGGGGACCTACATGTTTTCTCTTAAGGCATTCAACTAATTAGATGAGACCCTCTCACATTATAGAAAGTGATCTGCTTTACTCAAAATCTACTGATTTAAGTATTAATGATATCTTAAAAATATCAAGACTGGTTTTTGACCAAACACTGAGGCAAATATGACAAATATTAAGACGAGATAAAGAGAAGTGGCTGAAATGCAAGTGTTCCACCGTATTATTCTCTATACTTTTCTATGTTTAAAATATTTCCAACGGACACAAAGAGATCAAGGTATATATTTAGTATCTTTAAATTTGGAAAGACTCCTGGTTTATTGTAGTTCTGATAATTTACAGCAGACACACAATTCTCAGAGACAGCCCAAAGAATCAGAAAATTTAATGAGGCTAAGAGATTAAATATATCCATTGTTAACTTTTTAGTTAGCTAATTATTATAACCTAAACCTAAGATTAGTCTGGATACCTTCCCCACGTCCTAAACAACCCACAGAAAATCTCATAGGTTTGAATTAACAAAGATCAAATATCATATCTAATATAAACAGATTGTTTTCTATAGTCTTTAATAAATTCATTGATTCATTCAACATGTGCTATGGACTAACCTGAACATCCAGAGGTATTCAAGAAAGAACAGACAACATCACTACTCTCATGAAGCTTTATAGTCAAGCATGACAGACAGACAATAAGCAAACAAAACCAAAAAATCTTCTCTGAGATTTGCTAAGTGCTATGAATGACATAAAACCAGGCAGCAGAGATTTACTGGGGATGGGAGATGGAGTGAAGTCACTTTGGATAGGAAAGGCCTCTGTGATGATGTGATGTTTAAATAGGGAACTACAAATGCAAAGATCTGAAATAGAAGGTAGCAAACAACTAGATACACATGATCACATGGGCGTAATAAATTAGACATAAGCTTTCTAAGCCTATGGAAATACAGGGCCATTTATCATGTGTAGTTTGAAGTTTTGGAATTCTTTTTAAAAAGTAAAACTAGAAATAACTTGTTTCCTATCCATAAACATTTAAGTAAGTGTCATGCCTAGGTCATATAGCATGACTCCTTATGTGGTATTTAAGTAAAAACAGTATTCGGGTATTAAATTGAAATAAAGTAACACTGAAAATAAATAACAAGGAATCCTTAAGGTATTTACTGAAAGAAACCAGTAAAAGTCAACCTTTTTCTTACATATGTACCAACCATTTAGAAAAGACAACACACTGTAAATATATTCCTGGGAACAGGTGCTATGGAATAAAGAAAGCAAACTTAGGCAGGGATCAAAAAAGCAGGTGACTACAAACGGTAAAATAATATTACAGTAAGACATTAAACATCTGTATCATATTTCAGCACATGTGTTAACACTCGCATTTTTCTTGAAGCTATATTTTCTTGGGAATGGATATAGCAAATAGTGAATCTTCTCATTTCAATTCTAAAAAAATAATCTAAAGTATACTTGCAGAGAGGCAAGCTCTTAGTTATCAGCTATATCCCAGATGGCCCTCTAGGAGCATTTAAAGGCCACCCCCTTAAGTCACTGTCCAACATACTGAGGTAGATAATATGGCCAATACAATGATGAGAATTACAAAGAAGGAAATAAAACAGAAAATGCTGTTGCTATGGTCTGAATATTTGTGCCTGCCCCAAATGCATATGTTAAAACCTAATCACCAACATGATGGCTGGAGGTGGGGCCTTTGGGAGGTAATTAGAACCCCCATTAATGGGATTGGTGGCCTTATAAGGGGCTGAAGAGACTAGAGTTCTCTCCTTTCACCATATGAGGACTGTAGTAGGCTGTTCTTGCATTGCTATAAAGAAATACCTGAGCTTAGGTCATTTATAAAGACAAGAGGTTTAGTTGGCTCACGGTTGTGCAGGCTTTACAGGAAGCATAGTGTTGGCATCTGCTTGGCCTCTGGGGAAGCTCAGGAAGCTTACAATCATGGCAGAAGGTAAAGTGGGAGCAGGCATGTCACATGGCCAGAGCAGGAACAAGAGTTGGAGTGGGGGAGGTGCTATACACTTTTAAATGACCAAATCTCACAAGAACTCACCATCATGAAGACAGCACCAGGGATCTGCCCCCATGATGCAGACACCTCCCACCAGGCCCCACCTCCAGCATTGGGGATTACAATTCAACAGGAGATTTGGGTGGGAACAAATGTCCAAACTATATCAAGGACACATTTAAAAGGTACCATCTGTGAACCAGAAAGTGGGCCCTCCCCAGACTCCAGATTTGCCAGCTCCTTGCTCTTGGACTTCCTGGCCTACAAAAGTGCCAGAAAAAAATTTCTGTTGTTTATAAGCCACCCAGTTTATGGTATTTTTATTATAGCAGCCCAAATGGACTAAGACAGTTGTCCTGTCTTTGTTTATAAAACCATGGCGCTGTGATACTTTCTCTGTTTGCAGTTCTAATAGCTAAATTTCAGAAAATACCAAAGGGAAACATAGAAAGAACCATGGCAGTAAATCAGTGGTCAAGGACCAGACAAATGGAAAAAAACAATTCAAATTCTCCAACCCAGAAGAAACACAGAGGCAGAGAAAAGCCTATGAGATCAGGAAGGATCTGAATAATAATTAGAATGATTTTTCAAATCTGAAAATTAAGAGCCATGAAACAACACTGAAGATTAAAAGAGGTTGTATGAAGACAACTTCTTCCTTTTCTGACAATTTATTTTAATCACCATTTTAAGGAAATGTATGGAACATCTTATTCGTGAGGTGAGACAAAATGAAAGTAATTTTCAAAAAAACCCAAATAAAGTATTGGATAAAATCATGGATTCAAAGACTTACTTTGAATCCTGTTTTACTACTTTCTAGCTGTGAAATATGAGACAAATTTTTTAACTTCTCTATCCCTCAGTTCCCCATCTTTTGAAACGGTGATTGTGAGGATGAAATGAGTAAAGGGCTTAGAACAGTGCTTGCCAAATGATAAGTGCTTAAAAAAACTTTAGCCATAGCTCCACGTGTAGAAAAAAGTTAACACAGCAGACCTGACTGCAATTCTGCTTACAAGCCTGGCCCTTGACTGGCCTCTGGGAACTTGGATTTCAGGAAGGTTCCTACCACCATTAACTGGGAAGAGTTGATCACTGTGCTTAAAACTGTTTGTGCAAACATATGGCTCCCATTGAAAACCTGCTTTCCTTCTGCGAGTCTGAAATTTTGGCACACGCCAGGCAGAGACGCCAATGTGATCAGCCCACAATTAGACCCTGGGCACTGAGTCTCTACTGAGCTTCCCTGGTTGGCATATTTTACATGTGTGGTCACAGCTTACTGCTGGGGAATTGTGTTCTCTGTGACTCCACTGGAAGGGAACAGTGGGAAACTGGCAGCTGATTTCCCCTGGACTTCACCCCATGTACCCTTCCCTGTGCTGATTTTGCATAGAATCCTTTCACTGTAATAAATCATAGCCCTGAATATGACTGTAGGTGGAGTCTTGGAAGTCCTTCTAGTGAATCATCGAATCTAGCGTTGGCCCTTGAGGACCCATCAACACACTTGGACACAGTTAATCAATTATTTTGTCGTAGGTGTAAGTGCTATAAAATGCACTTTAATAAATATTGAATTCAAGTTCAAGAAAAGTGATTTTTAGATACAATACCTTGATAAAAACAGAAACACTGCATGATTTCTTCTCATAAATAATGAATGCAATAAAAATGTTAAGCTTCAAGGACATGATCACTAAATTATATCAGTATTTCCTAATACTATGGTTTTAGGTTATATGAAAATAAATACTTAGCTTACAACCTCTAAATGATATTCAATATAAGAGCAATAAAAGGTCAGAAATACTCGGTCATATTCTTTAAACAGCAATAGAAGATAAAGTAAAGCTAAAATGCCAGAACTACTAAGCTTTAGAAATGCATTACTAATTTTATATATTTTCTATATCTCTTACAAATAAGCAGATACTCTTTTCTAACACTTATCAAATCTTATGGTCTACCTAATAAATCAATATTTGGAAAGCAGAATTTAGAAGGAAAAGTTTGGGAAACAAAGTATTTAAGAATTCACATGAGTTTCTGTTTTTGGATACTCAGATCAACCCCCCAATGAAAAAAACTAAAGATGCTGGATAAGACACTAAAACAAAACCACCTTAAAAGGACTAAAGAATTAAAAAGAGCTGGCAGGCCAAATTCTTGAGGCTAGCTTGAACCCAAATAGGTTAGTGGAAAGAAAGTTGGCATCCCAAAGCCACCTTTGCCCCGAAGGCATTCACTCACATCATGCACTGGGGTTGCGGTCTGGTAGCCTCATGTGGGGATGAGGTCAGAAGTGAAGATACAGGACTTTCCCAATTTGGATCATCTCACAGGATAACTTTCCCACATTAAGGTGAAATCCAAAGGACTACATGAAAGTTTCCCTGTTGCTGAGCAAAGGAGTAAGAGAAAAATGAAATAAAAAAACGATAATTCACTCCTGAGAAGTTATGAGTGTTGATTGACCCTCACTAGGAGACTCCCTGGGATCCTGGGTCTAAACATACCTTGAGTGAGTATAGAAACTTCTATCTGTGGATCTGTTTTAATATAGTCCTGTACTGATGGTGCTCCAAGGAGCCTGGCAAAAACACATAAACCACTCTGATTTCAAACTGGGCTCGTGAATTCTCCATAAATTATTTTTCAAGGTCGGTGAGCTCCAGAAAGTTGAATACAAACAAGTTTACAAGGAAACTAGTCACCATGAGCAAGAACCAGCAGAAGCAGACATAAATAGACTTCGACTAGATGTTCTATGTTTAAAAATAAATAACTTGAAGTGACTTCAGGGAATACAAAACTATAAAATGTAACATAGGGGATTTTAATAAATGTTTGGTTATAACCTTTTAATACCTTTGTACTTTTAATTCATTAAAAATACTTAAGAGCTTGAGGTACCATGGTAGAAATTAGAGTTTTTCAAAGTAGCAGAAAACAATGTATTGTCAAAAGCAAGAGGTTTCTGATTATATATGTTTATAATTAAGGTTATAAACTTTCCAAGGCAATATTCTATTTACATTAAAATAGCAAAATCTGTACCAAATATAAGAACAGGAAATTCTCCCTAATTCACTGTATGAGGCCAATATAACCTTGAAATGAAACAAAGCAAGAAAGTAAAATTACACCTCCATTTTAGACACTCATTTTAGATACACACACAAGCACGCCCGCACACACACACCACCCTAAGTAAAATATTAGCAAACTGAATCCAACTGTGCATTAAAAAGCTAATAGGATAGTACAATTGGGTTTATATCAAAAATGTAAAAGATGAACTGATATTAAAACTATACATATATATACAGACATGTTATTCATTACATTAATGAATTTCAAAAAATAACATCTCGATACAGAAAAGGCATATAGTGAAATTTAATGCCAATTCTTGATTTTTTTTTTTTTTTTTGAGATGGATTCTCACTCCGTCGCCCAGGCTGGAGTGCAGTGGCGTGATCTCGGCTCACTGCAAGCTCCGCCTCCCAGGTTCACGCCATTCTCCTGTGCCCACCACCACACCCGGCTTAATTTTTGTATTTTTAGTAGAGACGGGGTTTCACCATGTTAGCCAGGATGGTCTTGATCTCCTGACCTCATGATCTGCCTGCCTTGGCCTCCCAAAGTTCTGGGATTACTGGTGTGAGCCACCATGCCCAGCCTTGATTTTTTTTTAAATTTAAGTTCTGGGATACATGTGTGGAATGTGCAGGTTTGTTACATAGGTATACAAGTGCCATGGTGGTTTGCTGCACCTATCAATCTGTCATCTAGGTTTTAAGCCCCACATGCATTAGGTATTTGTCCTAATGCTCTCCCTCCCCTTGTCCCCCACCCCCTGACAGGCCCCAGTGTGTGGTGTTCCCCTCCCAGAGTCCATGTGTTCTCATCAATTCTTGATTTTTAAAAAACTCATGATAAACTAGACCAGATGAGAAATTCTTTAATCTGAGAAAGGATCTAACCCCTACAGCTATGATCAAATTAACTGATAAAATATTGAAATCTTTCCCTTTGAGTTTCAGAACAAGACACTATCACCCCTGTAAGTCCTAGCCAGTGCATATGTCAGCAAAAAGAAATAAATGATACAAGGATTGGAAAGGAAGAAAGAATTACTATTTTCCACTGATATCATTATCTTTGTGGATCCTTAAAAATCTACAAAGTTAGCAAGGTTATTAGCTAGAAGATTAACATACAAAAAGCAATTTCGTTTCTATTGTTTCTACAGGTAATTTAAAAAACATAATTTTCAAAAGCTACCATTTATAATAGCAACAAAAACTATAAAATATGTAGGAAGAAATCCAATAAAAGAAGAAAAAAAGCTGTGTGCAATATAGAGTAGTAATTAAAAGTATGAACTTTATATCTAGGCACCTTGGGTTAGAATCTTGCCTCTGCTATTAACTAGCTGTGTGATCTACAGTAAGTTGTTAACCTCTCTGTGCCTCAGTTTCCTATGTGCAATATCTCATAATAATAGGATCTACCTCAAAAGACTGCTGTAAAGACTGGATACAAATAGAATGGGGCTTGGCATATAAGAAATACAGTATAAGTGAAAACCATTGTGATAATGATAGTGATAGTAGTGTGATGAAATTATAAGAATTTTCTGAAAGGCTTTCAAGAATACCCAATGAAAAATATATCATATTTATGGATAGGAAGACAATATTATTGAGATGTCAACTCTCCAGAAATTCATCTGTAAAGTAAATGTTAATCAAAATGTGAACAAAGTTTTTGGTTCTTAACAAGTTAGTTTCTGGAATTATTATGAGAAAACAAAGAGCTGGAAATAATCAATACACTGCTAAAGACGAAAAGTAAGGAGGGAGACTTGCCCTACCAGTGTTAAGATTTTATGAGGACAGTGAGAAACTGGTGCAGAGACAGATTAAATGACCAATGAAACAGGATAGAAAACACAGGAGCAGAGGCAGCAAAGCAGAACAGCAGAGAAAAGAGGGCACATTCAGTAAACAGAGGGGAAAATACTGATTGTCCATATGGAAAAGGTGACACTGGGTTCTCACACACGCCATACTCATGAATCAATTCTAGAAGAATTACAGATTTAATATTCAAGAGCCAAACCTTAAATTTTATGAAGAAAATATAGGTAATAGGTCTCTGACTTTGGGGGTAATGAAGGGTTTCTTAAACAGGACACAAGCCCTCTAACTATGACAAAGATTCATAAATTTAACCAAACTAAATTTTACTTATGTCTCAAAAGACACTTGAAGAAAGTGAAAAGACAAGCCACAAGCTGGGAGAAGATATTTGTTAACTAGACCGAATATTTGTACTGAGAACATATATAAAGAACACATTCACATAAACAGAAAATGCAATCGAAAAATGGGTCAAAACCGTGAACAGGTATGTCACAGAGAAGACTAGTAAACGTGAAGAGATAAGAGAGAGAACTCATCACTAATCAGGGTAACACAAATCAAGCCGACAATGAGATATTAAACCCACTCAACGGGGAAAGATTAAGAAGTCTGGCGGTCGGGTGGGCGCGGTGGCTCACGCCTGTAATCCCAGCACTTTGGGAGGCTGAGGTGGGCGGAACACGAGGTCAGGAGATCGAGACCATCCTGGCTAACACAGTGAAACCTCGTCTCTACTAAAAATACAAAAAATTAGCCAGGCGTGGTGGCGGGCGCCTGTAGTCCCAGCTACCCGGGAGGCTGAGGCAAGAGAATGGCGTGAACCCGGGAGGCGGAGCTTGCAGTGAACGACATCGAGCCACTGCACTCCAGCCTGGGCGACAGAGCGAGACTCCGTCTCAAAGAAAGAAAGAAAGAAAAAAAAAAATAAGTCTGGCAAGAGTTGGAGAGGATGCCCATCAACAGAATATACTGTTGGTGGGAATGTAAATTGATATGAATTATTGAAAATATCATTTGGCATTATGACATTCCAGCACTATGTAAGTAAACATTTGTGTACCTTACAACCTAGCAATTCCATTCCTAAGTACATATCCAGAGAAGCATTTGCACATGGGCACTAAGAGTTATGATACAAACGTGTTCATACAGTATTAATAAGAAGAGAAAAAGGAAACAAAATTGGAGAAAAGAAAACTAAATGCCCATCAACCAAAGAATAGACAAACTGTGGTAAATCCATACAGTGGAATGCTATACTATTTTATTTTTTTAGAGACAGGATTTTACTCTGTCACCCAGGCTAGAGAGCAGTGAGTGGCACAAGCATAGCTCACTGCAGCCTCAAACTCCTGCAGCCTCGAACTCCTGCAGCCTTGAATTCCTGGGCCCAAGTGATCCTCCCACCTCAGCCTCCCCATTAGCTAGGGCTATAGGTATGTGCCACCACACCTGGATAATTTTTATTTTGTATTTTTTATAGAGACGGGGTCTTGCTTACTGCTCGGAGAGTCTTGAACTCCTGGCCTCGACAGGTCCTCCCACCTTGGCCTCTCAAGGTGCTAGTATTATAGGCGTGAACCACTGTGCCCAGCCGCTAAACAGATTTTAAATGAGCGAATTATACATAAAACAAGGATAAATATTAGAAACACTATTGAGTGAAAAAAAGCAAGTCACAAAGACTATATACATTTGACATTGTTTTTTACGAAGTTTAAAAACAAGGAAGATTAAACATTAGAGAAACATATAGGAAAAATATGTATATGTGCTTTTTTTTTTTTTTTTTTTTTGAGACGGAGTCTTGTTCTGTCACCTAGGCTGGAGTGCCGTGGCATGATCTTGGCTCACTGCAACCTCCACCTCCAGGGTTCAAGCAGTTCTCCTGTCTCAGCCTCCTGAGTAGCTGGGACGACAGGCGCACATCACCACGCCCAGCTAAATTTTTCTATTTTTAGTAGAGACAGGGTTTCACTGTGTTAGCCAGATGGTCTCGATCTCCTGACCTTGTGATCCGCCCACCTCGGCCTCCCAAAGTACTGAGATTATAGGCATGAGCCACCACGCCCAACCACGTGTGTGTATTTTTAAAGCATGGGAATAATCAACACTTCAGGATACTGGTTCCTATGGAAAAATGCAGGAAGATAGGATGGAGGAGTGCACCGGTATATGTGAGTTAATGGTAATATTGTAGTTCTTGATTTGAACGCACTAATTTTATTGTTAAACACACTAACTTAAATAAAGCAGTCGTGCATGGAAAAATTATATTTAAAAAATTAACTACACACATTTACAAATTTACATCTAGTTACAATTTGATTCATAGTATTGCACCATAGTTTTAATTTATGCAAACTTAATATGCCATTTTGGAATAATTTACCATAACATTTAACTTATTTATACAACCTGTTGGAAAGACTAGCATGTAAATACGGTTGAAAATAAGGAAGGAAAAC